GGACCCCCCGGGGGAGGGTCCCCCGGGAAAGGACCCCCCGGGAGAGGCCCTGGGAGACCAGGTTGTGTCAGGAGGATGGCGCCCACAGAGGTTTGAGATCCAAGTCCGGGGGGGTGGGAGTGTGGAGGGGGGTGCGGGGCGAACTCGGCTGCCTGGAGGTGTGCAAATGCCGGGAGTCAGGGCAGGCTGGGGGCCCAGGGCACAGGACCTGTGAGGGGCACAGCGTGAGAGGGGAACGGGAGCCGGGCGGGGGTGCCGGGGGCAGGGGCAGCAGGTCCCTGTAGCCCCATTCGCGAGCCAAGCGCGGAGGAGCGGCTGGCCTTGGCCTGGAGGCCCCGGGGTGCAGGGCCTGGCTTCTCCGGCTCGGTGGGTCTGGGAGGAGAGGCCGGGAAGGTGGCAGCCTCGCACTGCAGGCCCAGGACGTCAGGCCGGGAGGGGAGAGGACGGGTGGGGCACGGGGGGAGGGGGGGGTCGTCCTCTGGGGCCGGGCACGGAGGTGCAGGGAGGGCGAAGGACGAGGCCAAGCCGAGGCCGCGTGGCGGGGGAGCCGGCCCAGGGGGCCTCGGAGCCGTTTCCGGGGAGGGCCGTGGGGTCCCGTGGGGCCCTCGGGGTGTGGGGGCTGCTCCCGGCCCCGTACCTCTCCCCTTTCTTCCTCCTGACGGTTTTGGGCGCAGGGCGACCCTGCTCCCACCTCGCTGGCAGCCACGTGTGGCCGCATGACCGGGCGGCACAGGGAGCCAGGCGGTGTTGGGGGGTGTTTTCCAAGGGAGGGCGGCCCCCCTCTGTGGTGCTTCCTTTTTTCTGATGGTGGAAACGTGGCCTCCAAAAAACGGGGCGTAAGCAGCCATTCTGTGCCAGGTGGTGGAACCGCCCCAGGCTCGAGGCAGGAGCTGGGGTCCCCACCTGGGGCAGCTGCTGGGTCCCAAGCCGTCTCCTGTGAGAAAGAACAAAAACGTATCTTGTCAAAGCTGCGCGGCTTTCTCACGGTGGGTGGGAGTGCAGTCCCCAGGGGAGTCTGCTATGGGGGTGCCCTGTTCCTGCCCCAGGTGGGAGGGGGTGGGTTATTGACAAGCATTCCAAGTTTTCTTAGATGCATTTTTTAAATCCAAAGCATGCTGTAATGCACGAACGCAGATAGACATGTAAAATATGATCACCGCGTGACAGACACCCACACCTACCTTGGCTCAAATAGGCTGCCTCGCCACAGCTCTGACACCTGAGCGTCAGCTGTTCCTCACGGAGCCCCACTGCGTCTGAAGCTGGCAGCCTCGGATCCCTGCTAAATGGACATATTCCTTCCCAAACTCAGTTCTCAAATGGGCCTTTGTTGGTAAGGAGACTCCACACATGTGTACAGCCTTGATACAATATTCATTCCCGCAGAGGACATATCTCTCAAACATAATGTAGTAAGAGCTTTTCCAAATCCAAGGACATTAAATATTAAAACTCAGTTTTCTAGTTATACATTAGCCTTGAATACCAAGAGGGCAACACAAAATTCTCACAGAACTCAGGAAAAGGAGACCAGAAAGGCCGCAGATGGGCAGCCAGGCGGACAAGGGCACAGGACCGGGTCCGAAAGGGTCCCCAGTGCAGGAGTCTCTGTCCCCGTGGGGTGGGGGGCACCCCCTCCTGGCACGGGCAACCCAGAACTGCTCCTGATCGTCCTTCAGGGATTCTTATGGGCCCGACGGATGCTGGTGGGTGGTCCTGGAGGAGGGTGGGGGCAGGGCTGAGAGCTGCTGGTGCTAATCCTGGCTGGTCTAGCCGGTGACCAGCTCCCCTGCAGGAGCCACCAAGCCTCACCTCATTTGAACAAAAGCTGCTGCTGCCATCACCCAGGAAATTCAGAGGGTTTTTGGAGCCCTGTCCCCGGTCTCGGGAGCAGAGACCAGATCTATTCCTCTCTCATTTCACAGCCCTATCTTGCCAGGTAGAGCTGGTGTCTGTGTCTGGGTTCCCAGGTTGGCCCCCAGAGGCCTGCTTCTGTTGTCATAACGGGGCGCTTGCACGGGCAGCTTAAACAGCAAGAAAGGAGGCATGAAGGCTGAGATCGAGGTGCGGCCGGAGCTGGTTCCTCTGAGGCCGCCCTTCATGGCCGAGTGTGGCCGTCTTCCCCTGCCCCTCGTGGCCGGGTGTGGCCGTCTTCCCCTGCCCCTCGTGGCCGGGTGTGGCCGTCTTCCCCTGCCCCTCGTGGCTGGGTATGGCCGTCTTTCCCTGCCCTGCGTGGCCAGGTGTGCTCATCTTGTCTGTGTCTTCATGTCCAAATGTACCTGATTTATATGGACCCCAGCTGTGGGGTTTAGGGCCCACCCTGGGACCTCACTTTAAATGGTCACCTCTGTGAAGATCCTGTCTCCAAATAAGGCCCCATTCTGAGGTTGTGGGACAAGGACTCTGGCATAAAAGTTTCAGGGGGACACAATTCCACCCATGCCACTTGCTTAACCAGAAGTTGGTGAGAATTCTGAATATTTGTAATTTCACCAGGTGAAAGCCCGGAAGATGATTGAATTGTTCTTTAAAACATCTCGGAATATATTTAAATGAGCAGAAGAGAAGTTAAAGACACAGCTTCTTCCAGCGCAGGTGGGGCCAGTAATTAAACCCCGCGGGGGTGGATGCACTTGAAAGAGAACTTAGTTGAAATTGACCTGGAATCCCAGCTCCTGGGGACAGGCAAGCAGAAGCCGGGGGCAGGCGGCATGTGGGGAGCTGTGGGGTCCCGGCTCTCCCCAGCTCCGCTCAGAAGAGTGAGGTGCCGCCTCCCCTAGAGGAGCTGGAGAAGTGGGGGCGGGTGGAGGCGGGGAGGCACCGAGGGTCCCTGGTCCAGGGCACTGGCAGCAGGCTCTCCGGGGAAAAACTAAAAGGAAGTCCCCTGTTAGGAGCGTTTGCACATCCTCCCACCACAGCTGTTTAAACACAAGGGTCAACCCCAGCTCCCAAAGCTGCACACCTCACAAATGGCCAGGTGGCGCCCAGCCCTGGCTTGGTGGCCCCTCCAGAAAGGCGGAGTCCTGGGGCAGTTTAAGCTGCACCCCATTATGACAAACTCAGCTGGCAGCGGACCCGCGCTGCTGCCCCAGGGGCCTGTCTTCCCTCTGCCCGGCTGGCATCTGGCCCGGCAGTGCTTGCCGGCTTTGGCTTCACTTTGGGGCCTGCAGGTGCCGCACGGCTACTTCCCTCATGGCTTGAGAACCCAAACGTGGAGTCCGGGAAAGGGGGCTGGGCTGGAACCCCCACGTGTCAGGGCCCACGGAGCCTGCAGGAGAATGTGGGCCCAGGGAACGGGGAAGAGCTGTTCCCCAAGTTGGGAGAGGCCCCAGGCCACCTCAGTGTGTTGGGCCACACAGCAGTGTAGGCCACAGAGTGGCCACCCAGCCACAGCCGGCGGAACCCCAGAGCCCACTAGGGGAGGGCGTGGTGGGTGCACATGTGTGAGTGTGTGTCAGCAGGAGGGGTGGGTGTGAACTGATTGTGTGCTGTGTCAGTGTCAGCATGTGCCATGTATACACAAGAGTGCCTGTGTGTAGCGTGTGGCATGTGAGCATGGTCCTGTGCGACCCTGTGTGTGTGTGCATGTGTGTGCACGTGTGGCCCTCCCCTGGGGAGGCACAGGGGAACTGATCTCAAATCCACGGACATCACCGACCACTTGCGCAGGGCCCGGCTCTGGGGGTCGGCAGAGCACAAAAGAGGCAGAAAGCGCTGCCCCAGGGGACCAAGACCACACCGTGGGGTCCAGCAGCTGGGAGGGGGGCCTGATGTTTTCAGGGAAAGCAGCTTCACCCCACAGGGAGGATTAGAAGAGGGGCTCCCCACCTCCTCAGGCACCTTTCCAAAGGGACAGCCCCTGAACGTGGAGCATATCAGCAACCCGGCAGCTGAGTTCTCGCAGTTTCCAGAGTGATACCTGAGGGCAGTGTGCACATGCCCTAAAAAGACAGGGAGGAGAACACCTGCTGTCATCCCCAACAGCCCTGCATCCAGCACCCCAGGATCCACAGCACCCCAGCATTTCAGCACCCCAGCATTCCCACCATCTCTAGCATCCCAGCACGCCAGCATGTCAGCATCTCCGCCATCACCATAATCCCCAAAACTCCAGCGTCCTAGCCTCTCAACACCCCAGCACCCCAACATCCCAGCATCCCATGACCCCCAGCACCCCAGCGTTGCTGCATCCCAGCACCCAACTTGGGGTCACAGATTTTTATCTGATGAATCTGCAGCTCTTAATTAATGCTTCTACCTGCCTTCCCTCTGCGTTCCGAAGACTCTGTGCACAGGTGCTGTGTACATTACATTCCTTTCCGGCTGAGGAATGGCAGTTACATCGTACAGCGTCCTGAGCTAACCATCCATCCATTCACCTGGAGATAGTTTGGAAGCCTCGCTGTGTCGTTAGAGCAGAGCCTCGTTCTGAACTCCGGGCCCAGTGGGCCCCACACCACCGCTGAGGCTGCTGCAGCTCAGGGTGGCTTTGACATCCGTGGTGGCACTCTCTTCTCTGAGGCCTTGCTGTTCAACGTTTTGCAAGACTGTGTTTGCATGTTTATTTTTATGTGAATGCTGAAACATCTGGTCTAGTTTAAAAAATAAACACAAACCACAAAGCCAAAAACACACTGCTGGCATTTTCTCTGGCACAGGTTGATTTAAAGAGAACTGGCGTCCGTGAGGCCGTGTGTCTCCCCCAGCTGCAAGGGGCTCTCTCAGTCACTTGCGTTCGGTGTGCGTCTGTTGGTAAAGAACTTGTGCCTTGAGATTGATAAGGAGGTGATTCGGTGATTTCTTTTCAAACAAAGAAAGAATGTGGAATTGATCTTCCCTCCATGCTGCTGAACGGGTTCACAGCATTGTAATTACATGTTCCTTAAAGGTTTGCTAGAACTTGTAAGCTGGACTTTACTTTCTCATCTGGAGCAAGTGTGTGTGTGTGTGTGTGTGTGTGTGTGTGTACGTTTCTTTGCGTGTGCACTTGCTGCCTGTATGTGTATTGCACATGTGTGTATGTGAATATGTGAGCATGTATATGTGTGTGCATATGTATAAGCATATATATGGTGTATTCATGTAAATGTTTATGTGTGCATGCGTATATGTGTGTAAGTACATGCATGAGTGTGTGTGGTTGTATATGTGCACATGTGTGTAAGCGATGCGCTATGTATATTCAGGTAGATGTACGTGCATGTGTGTTTGCCTGTGTGTGTGTGTAAGCATAGGTATGCATACGTGTTCATGTGGAGGCGGATGTATATGTGTACATGAGAACGTGTGTATATGTGTATGTGTGAGCTTGTGTACCCATGTGTAAGTACATTTGTGCATTTGTGTGGCTATGGATGTCTGTGTATATGTGCACTGTGTAGGTGTGTATGTATGTCCATGTGTGCTTGTGTATACGTGCACGAGTGTATGTGTGCATGTGCGTGCATGTAAGCACACGTGTGTGTTTATTTGGGTGTGTTATATGTGTTTGTGCTTGTGTACATATGTGTAATCATATGCATGTGTTGTATATGTGCAGGTCTGTATTTGTGCATGTGTACATATGTGTAAGCACATGTGTGTGTGTTTATTTGGGTGTACATGTGTTTGTGCATGTGTACATGTGTGTCAGCACATGCATGTGTGTATTTGGGTATGCATATGTGTTTGTGCTTGTGTACATATGTGTAATCACATGCATGTGTTGTATATGCGCAGGTCTGTGTGCATGTGTACATATCTGTAAGCACATGTATGTGTTGTATATGTGCAGGTCTGTGTGCTTGTGTACATATGTGTAAGCACATGCATGTGTGTGTATATGTGCGGGTCTGTGTGCTTGTGTACATATGTGTAATCACATGCATGTGTGTGTATATGTGCAGGTCGGTGTGCATGCGTACATATGTGTAAGCACATGCATGTGTGTATATGAGCAGGTCTGTTTGTGCATGTGTACATGTGTGTAAGCACATGCCTGTGTGTGTTTATTTGGGTGTACATGTGTACATACGTGTCAGCACATGCATGTATGTGTTTGGGTGTGTTTGTGCATGTGTACATACGTGTCAGCACATGCAGGTATGTATTTGGGTGTGCATGTTTGTGCATGTGCACATACGTGTGAGCACATGCATGCATGTGTTTATTTGGGTGTGGGTGTTTATGCATGTGTACATGTGTGAGCACATGCATGTGTGTGTTTGAGTGTGCATGTGTGTTTGTGCATGCGTACATATGTATAAGCACATGCATGTGTTTATTTGGGTGTGCATATGTGTTTGTGTATGTGTACATACATGTCAGCACATGCATGCGTGTGTATATGTGCAGGTCTGTGAAGGGATCCAGATCACACTTTGTGGCGTTAGGATCATTTCGAGCCAACAGCATTTGGGAATCCACCGTGCAGGAGGAGACTTTCTCCACAGCAGCCTTATCTGCCTGAAAGCAGAATCTTCCAGAAGGACTCGGCCATCACAGCCCCTTGAAAAGAGGCTTCTGGTACCAGGAGACCGAGCATGTGCAGGCACCGGAGATGGGACGTCGGCACAGGGATGAGAAATCGCACGCACAGACCTTCCCCAAGCGGACCTTGCCCTCCGCCAGCTTCCTGTGTCTTCCTCGCTCACCTGCCCCGCGTGCTGGCCCCCGGGGTCCTGCCTCCCCCGCTTGATAAGATGGTTTCTCAGCCCCACATTCTAGCTGCTTCTTTGAGTCATTCTTCCTGAGTGTGTATGTGAATCAACGTTCTCTAAGCCGTCTTTTGTTTAATTTGCAGGTCCCAGCAGAGAGCCTAAGAAGACAGAGAACAATTTTAACCTGTAGCCAGGCGTACTGTGCGGTCGCTGGGCGTCGCCTGGCTGCGTGTGTGCTTTGGAATTCGAGGTTTGCTCTGGGCGTAGATATGAGAAGTCCACTTGTGTGATTGTTCTGTGGGCACTTGAAAGGCGTTCGATGCCCGTTGGTTAGAACTGTGTTACTGATGACACCCTGTGGGCCTCTGATATGCCCGCCTGGCTCTGCCCGCCGTGGGCCTCTGATATGCCCGCCTGGTTCTGCCCGCCGTGGGCCTCTGATATGCCCGCCGAGCTCTGCCCGCCGTGGGCCTCTGATATGCCCGCCTGGCTCTGCCCGCCGTGGCCTCTGATATGCCCGCCTGGCTCTGCCCGTCGTGGGCCTCTGATATGCCCGCCTGGCTCTGCCCGCACACCCTCTGGCTCTGTCGCTCTGAGCGGATGCCAGTTCCATGTCCTTTGGAGCACAGAAGTTTGCTGGGGCTTCTCCGAGGGTCGTGACCTTTGCCACCACAAGTGCCCATCTGTCTTGATCAGTGCTTGTTTCCTGAAAGCCAGCGTCGGTGATGAAGATCGCAGACCCGCCTTTTCCCTCCTCCTTTACTGCTTCCTTTATTTTGGTACAGTTTACATGCAGCAAAACACACAGGTGGTAAGCGTTGCGTTTCCCTGAGTTTTGAAAGTATGCACACATGGTCACCCACACCCTCAGGATGGACACCACCCTGTCACCCCACGGAGGCCCCTGTGCCCCTACCAGTCGGCCCCACCCTGCCCTGGTGCACCTCTGCTCTGACCTCAGCCACCGCAGACCAGTGCTGCCTGCTGTGGAGCCTCCTGTAACCCAGAGCGCCGGGCTTTGCTGGAGCATCTGCTCAGCGTGGCAAGTGCTCTTCTGCCCAGATTGTGGAATTCAGATGGGATGAAGGCAGCCCCTCCGGGCTCAGCGGCTGTGACCCTGCAGCATGAGGACTCCAAACCACACTCTTTTCCACCCTTGGGGGGTTGCAGCCTGATGTGCAGAGACTTCCAGGAACACCCCTTCCTGGCGCTGGCACCGCTGAGAAGTGAGTGGCAACACGGTTTTGCTTCAGTCAGAGGAAAAAGTCTCTAAGTGTGGAAGTTAGACGCCACTCAGAGGGGGCTGGATATTTTATTTAGAATAGACAATTGCCAATGTCCTGAAATCCCACAGATAGGGGTCATACTCCCTGTTCTTTCTCCTCCCTCCCAGCTAAGGTGTGCAGAGAGAGAGGGCGGCGTGCAGGAGGGGGTGCAGGTGCGGCGGGGTGGGAGGAGCCTGCCCTCTAACATGCAGGCCCTGGACAGCCGAAAAACCTGGGAGGCCCATGGAGGAAGGAAGGTTGCGTCCTCTTGAGATGGCTGCGGGCGCCCTGCTGGGAAGTGAGGACCCGCAGGCCTCTCTTCAGCGGAGGTCCCACCCAGAGCCTTCCTGGTTTATCCAGTCACTGGGCCGTCCTCAAGTCCATCCTGCCCCTGTGGATTGTCCTGAAAAGCTGCCTTGACTCCTGGCTTTCACATCATTAGCGTAGAGTTGTGCAAAACATGATCTGCGGACCCGAGGACGGGTGCTCTGACTCCTCTGTCCGTCTGTGGTCGGTCTCACCTTCCTGTCCTAACTTTGGGCACTGACTTTTTCTTTGATTTTTCCTGCTTTAATTACCAGGTGCTTTAACAGTTTCATGGTGGTCATTTTTTTTTTTTCTTTTTAATGAGGTCTGAGAAAATAGTGAACCAGCAGGTGTGGTGGGTTCCACCCCAAACCCCAGACCCCTGGGGACACTGGTCAGAGCAGGCGCGGGGTGCATGGTGAGCGGGGGAGGCGGGCTCCACGTGAGGACGCGTTTCTTCTTCCGCACTCGCCTCTGGCTGGTCACCGCTAACGCTGTTTCAGAGTCAAACTCTGAAAAATATTTGAAGAGGTTTATTCTGAGCCACATATGAATGACCACGGCCTGTGACACAGCCCCAGGGGACCCCGAGAGGATGCACCCTAAGTGGTTGGGGCACAGCCTGGCTTTGTAGATTGCAGGGAGATTCGAGCCCCAGTCAGTACAGGTGAGATGTGCACATCAATGAGAAGGGGAAGGGGCTTCCAGGTCACAGGCAGATTCAAAGATTTTCTGATTGGCAATTGGTTGAAAGAGTTATTATCAATAGAAAGGACTGTCTGGGTTAAGATGAGGGCTGTGGAGGCTAAGGTTTTATCAGCAGATGAGGCCTCCAGGTAGCAGGCTTCAGAGAGAATAGACAGTAAATGTTTCTTATCCGAGTTAAAGAGTCTGTTCTATCAGTAATACACAAGGGCGGAGGGAGAATGAGGCACACCCCGCTCCCATAGTGGCCTGAACTCGGTGTTCAGGTTGACCTTGGAATGCCCTCAGCTGAGAGGAGGGGTCCGTTCAGATGTGGGGGGCTTAGAATTTCATTTTTGACTTACAATAAGACAACACAAGTAGACATTTAAAACACAACTGGAAGCTAACAGCCCGACTCACGGAATAAAATGCCTGTGTGTTAAACAACTCTTGGGTTCAAGAAGAACCCAAAACTTAAATAAACTAAACAGAGTATCTCAAAAAATAGCAAGAAGGAAAGTTGTTGCTTATCAGTGTCAGAGGCAGGGCTCAGAGGAGAAGTCCCTGGATTATAGCCCAGGCATCTAACTCAAACATCCAACGCACGTTTTATAAGAGAATGGCACTGTTCTAAAAAACAGTGGAAGGGAGGCATTAACAAGATAAAATGGAAGATAATGAGAAAACAGAGGAACCAAAGCACCAATAAATACATCCAGCCTCAATCAGACTGTCGCTAATTAAGAAAAATGGAGAAAGTACAAATCGTAAAATAACACGTGGAAAAGGAGACATCACACGTTTAAAATGAAGAATCCCCGGGCAGCACTTTGCTGTTATGGATTTTACCTTTTCCAGGAAAACATAAGTATGAAAGCTCCCCCCAAAAGAGAGGAAATCTCTCAAAGGACCAATGACCACAGAAGAAATAGAGAAAACTCCTAAGAATGACCCACCCCCGCCCAGAAAATCAGGCCAGACAGTTTCACAGGGAAAACGGGCAGCATCTT